AATATTGTTGTGATAACCCCTCGAAGACGAGCTGCCTCTGAGCTCCCTCTGGGCATTTATAGATCACAAGATATTCCACATAGCTGTTCGCTTAGTAATAGTAAAGCCAGCAGTGCTGGACGACAGGAGGTGTGGGGCTACATCGCCGTGAGCACTACTCATAAAATATGCATTCTTAGTTTTTGCATCCTATCTTTTTTTTTATTTTTCAAAACATTAACTCAGACAAAATATGCATCATCCTATAGTGGCAGAGGAAACGCTTAAAATTAAACCTGAATATCTCGCCTTTTTATTGTTTCATCTAATGAGTTCTGAGTTTTAGTTACAGTTTTAAAACGTTCTAGTGACTGGTTGCACATCAGTGAGAACTTCGCTTAGCAAGTTAGGATGCAACAGAGGTGGGTTTGACGTCTGTATCGGTCCATTGACAAAACGCATGGAGTCCAAAAGACAGCTTAACCCTCCTTGAAGTGTTGTGTGAAGGGGGCTCTGGCCTCCGTCTGTATATGTCCTAGCAGCTGGCAGAGAAGATTATGAACACACTGTGGTACAGATGTGATTTACAGTGACACCAAAATACAATAAAACAAGCTATAATAAACATGGAATTCGAAACATGCCGTGCAGTTGACAAAATCACAGACACCAGACTAATGATTAGTGGGCTTTTAGTCAAGGATAATGATTTGGGGGGATCCAAATCCCATCAAATTGTTTTGTTACTTTAATCTCTTTATTTTCAAGTCTGTACGGTTCCATCATGGTGGAAAATGAAATTACAAGGGGTCCAACAAATTGGACCAGATTGTTGGTAGAAGTTGCTCTTGCTTAGTATTTTCATCAGTTTTCTTACCAGTCGGTCTCATGTGGCAGCATTCGCCTTCTCTGCTCTAGATGAACCAAACAATTGGGATTAAGATTCACGAGAGAAAATAGCAGGTTTCAACTGGACATCCTTGAACTTCCTGCAGCTGTGATGTATATTGTTGCTGCCCTATTCATTTAAAAGTCACGATTTGTGCAAGTGTGCACAAATCGTGACACCGTCACACTTGCTGACGGTGTCAAGCAACCTTGCGCTGTTGGCAACACTCGACAAACAGTTGCATTATTGTGCTAAATAAATGACACTATGTTACTGGAAAATACATAAGAGAACCAGAGGCTGTGGTTTTTCTCCAGGTATGCCGTCAACAAGTCAGATTCTGTGCAATCCGCTCTAATACATTAACAAATTTCATTGAATTAGTTGATTAGTTTGTTCGGTTTATTTGGTCCAAATGCCTTCATGCTTCTTAGGTGTCATTATCCTTCACAAACACGTTGTTACTATTACACTTTTTTTTTGTACATTTTAGCAAACTTGAAATTTGTGGGCTTTTATGGTTTTTGGGAGCATTTAGCCTGAGACGCTGGTGTTATTTTTGTGTCTGGAGGAGCTGTCTGCTCAGATCAGGGTTTTTTAAGGTCCACATAGAAGCAGCTTTTCAAAGACAGAAACAGGGATACAATGAGAGAGGAAAGCAGAAAGCATTAAGTCAGACCTGAAGCAGGCCGATGAAAAGGACAGGGAGGCTGGATTTACCCAGAAACAACTCTTCTTTTGAGGCTGAATGAACATGGGCCTTGCGGGCTGTTTTCAGCACTCTGTCCCTTCCTAAAGTGAAGCAATTCTCAGTGTATTCAGATAGACAAGACTTTACTTCCCTCTAAGCTAGTTTCCTTCCTCCGTTTAATCTCCAGTGCTCGTAGTTTTCATTTCCCTCACTCTTTTTGACCTTTTCACCCCAACCCTGGACCAGAATTTCCATCTTAAATAATATGTGTGTTTCCAGAACAATATAAAATGTAATTATTACAGAATATTTCCACTGTTCTAATTGTTTGGATGAAAACCATGAAACCAATTTGTAATCTTTGTAAGCACTCAATTGCCATGCTCTAGATCATGGGTGTTAAAGTGCAACCCCTGACCCCGTGGTTGGGGTTTATCATATTTCTTTTTAAACTTTAAGCACATGCAAAATACTCACAGGAGATTCAAGTAAAGGTTTAACAAATGTATTGAATGCAATGAATGGATGACTCAAAGGTCTTGGTCCAGGAGGTTTTCCCTGCAATGCTGGGAGTATATTTTTCCTTCCTTCTCTACTTTGGCCCCAAAATCTGAAGGACTGATGATCATATCTTTCACACTGCTCAGCTGCAGAATCATTATCCCCCAAAGGCTCCGACAATTATTCATCCAGTGTGCTCGCTGCTGAGACAAGGGCTATATTTAGGTTTCCCAAAATGACCTCAGCTTTGATTGGCACTCTCACATCCCAATTATTGGAAATTCAGCACCTTGGAATAATGAAGACAACATCAAAGACCTGTTTATCTCCTCATCATCGTCAGCGGCAAATCTTTTGTATGGTCACAGCTAAGAGAAAGCTCTTCTCGGCAAGGGAAAGAAAAGATGACACAGAGGCTAAGTTTAGTCTGCGCTGCTGGGCCTGAGCCGATGCAGAGTCTGAAAAGCTTCTGTTTAACGAGTCATAGTGATCACGAGGCCACGTGTGGGGAAATCACAGTAAAAAGTCAGAGGTTATTAAATAAATACACATTACTTTACAACCACTGCACTTGTTTTGTCATTTAACAAGCGCAAACATGCATTTTATTTGTTCTTTTATAAGATAGAACAACAGAAACCTGTGCATAATAGTGAATTGTTAATGATAAATACAGGGTGCATGGCTCAGGAGGAGGATGTGTCCAGCAGGAGTTAATGAAGAAGTTTTCAAGACACAGCTTTTATTTTTGATTGTCCACTTCAGCACATTAGCAAGCAAACGTGCATGCATTTAGCTATAAACTAGCAATTTAGTTTGTAAATCAAATATTTGGCTGGCTAAGAACTAAATTTTTAGCTTGCTAACATTATATTTTGTTAGGACCTAAATACTCAAGTTGAAACTGTGACATTGATAAATGAGTGGATAACATGCAGGACCCCATATCAGACTGGCACCACTTGCTGGTAGACGAAAATGTATTTATTTGTGTCATTTATTTGTGTTTATTTGCAATTTTATTATGGTTTCTGTCTTTGGACGTTTTCCTAAGGCTTTGTGCTTCAGAAAATATTTTCTGAAAGGAGGCTGAAAATAGCATATCCAGGGATTCCAGGGTGACTTGTGAAAATGAAAAAATCCTTTAATACCTCCTTTCTCTGACAGTAAAAGTTCAGCTGTCTTCACGTTTTCCCAGCTCTTACACTGTCATGGACGCTAAAAGCCCATAAAAACATAAATATTTATCCCTTACCTTCTGAATATTCCTGGCTGTTCATCTTTTTCTTGAACACGCTGAACACTTTAGGAAGCTTTGGACGCGTCTTAAAGCTGGCGGAGAGGCATGGACAGACAGTACAAATGGAAAGTGTCCATTCACTGACTTGTAAGGAGAAGGCTGCAGTTCTGTTTTCATAGTTGTGAATCCCTTAGAGTCACACAGCTGGGTGCACAAACTAGAGCCCAAGAATGTTTTAGAGTTCATGTTATGCCAGGACAGAATAGCTTTTTCTCCAAATTAAGAGGAAACAATGGGATCTTGGAGAATTTGTTGCAGTTCCCCTTTTATCTTTGTAAACATTGTGGTTCTGTTGGTGTTTTGAAGTCTTGACCTTCAGAGTGCACTTGATTGGATCACAGTTAGTTGAGCATTAAGCAGCAAGAATGAGACAACACTTCCCAATATGAGATACAGATAATGACAGAACAAAGACCTAAATTCAGCAGTCAGGTCATACATGGGAACCTCCTGGTTGCTTCTTTTTCAAATGTTTGTAGATGTGACTGATCGGAAGAAGAGACGGGGGCAGAACCAGAGCTGAATGGAGGTATTAAATATATGATATACTGACCCATGAACCCTGTAGGATTACCCATTCCATTTTACACATTGAACAAATCTACAGGTGACAAGATGAGGTGCAGCATGGAGGATCTCTGACGAGACAAACCTGTTCAGCCGCCACCAAATGTTGACCAAAGTGGAAAAAGTTCATTTCCACAACTGCTTTGAACCAAAGTGCTTACTCACATTATTGTTTTGTAAAAGTACAGTTGCTACTTTATTGCATTTTTACTATGAAAAGATAATCAGGACAAAGTGAAAAGAAGTTCATTTTCTCCACAACAAAGAAAAAAAACGAAACCAAACATTTAAATGATTATTCCATTCATATAGTGGTGTATTTATTTTTTTTCCTCATCTTGGGGTGGGGTTGGCTCAAAAATGTTGTCTAAATAGCTTCATATCTGCTGCCCTAATTGTACATTGAGGATTCCCAAATGTGCATGTCAGTAAATAACCATAAAAAAAATTAATAGGAATGCTTTATTTTGGACAGAATGTATTTCATTTGACAATAAATACTTTTTAATAAGCTTCACTGGGTATAATGCAGCTTTACGTATGTCTAATTAAAGTCTATGAAGCGTGCAGGGATCGTTTGTTTGCTCCACGTATTCCCTACGCCGCCAGATTTTCTGTCTGAATGAGTATAAGTGCAGGTCACCCAGAAAAATGCCTGTAATTTATCCTTCCATTTCAGCACATTAATTATAATCTACCTACATGCTACAGTGGATATCTGGGATGACCTTTAATCGTGTTTTCTGTCGTACGCACAGATTATGAGGCTGTAAATAAGGTGTGGCTCCATCCGTACGGAGAACAGTTTGTGATGGTTGTTGCTTCGGCTGTAAAACTTCACTGAGAGTTTCATCCGGTTTTATTGTTAACTCCTAATTACTGCCTGCTATAATTGAGATTAAAACACAAAGCTTTACAAAGGGAGAAGAGCTGCAGACGTCAATTCAGCACAGCAAAGGCAATTATGGGAACGAGACGGATAGTTTCGCTCCACTCAAGGTTTAAAAGGATTTGTGTAATTCGAGGTTTAGAAGGTCGGTTCTGTGAGTTAGGCTCTACCCTTAAACTTCTAGAAATCAAATGAACATTTCTTTTTGTTGTTGTTGTTGTTTTCACCAAGGATCACCACGACAGCCGCCTGCATGATGGACCTTCGCAGATACCCGCTGGATGAACAGAACTGCACCTTGGAGATCGAGAGCTGTAAGCAACACAGTCTTTGTTAAAACTGATTCAAGAGATGCTGAGTGAACCTGGATAGATCGGTTTGTTTTCAGACGTCACACAACTCTGACACAAGAACCTGTCATGATCTTCATGTGGTGAAGACACCTGATTTTTATCAGGCTAACCAGAGATGAAGAAAGCCACAATAATGTAAAACAAAGGATCAGTTCACAGATCTAGAAAGAGTTTCACGAAAACCTGTCACTACATGCTCCAGGAGCTAAAACCAGGTGTTAGGGAAGCTATAGAAAGTCCATGTGATAAAAACTGACAAAAGTCTGAAGATAAAAGAATCATAAAATCCAAAGAAAACACAGCTTGTCAGAGCACCTCTTATAAATCTGATAAAATCATAATTCTGATTAATAAAGCAGGAATTTAACTACATGGTCAATCATATAGCTTAACTACAGACGTACAACATTAGGATCTCAACTGCTAGTTAATAAACACACATTACATTTGACTGTTCATCCAACCATTTTTCCATCCTTGTTTCAGTCTTGGTCCAGCCATGTTTCCATCCATCCATTCTTCATTTTTCCATCTGTCTGTATCCCTCCTCTTGGAAATCCATAGGTGTTCATGACTGTGGGTCCTCCCTGTGTTTTTTTTGTTTGTTTTTTTTGTTTGTTTTTTTCAGTAAATTGATTATACCACCCAGACCATATTTGTTCTGGTTGTGGTTCTTTTTCAGTTTTCCTATTGAAATGTTTCTCAACCTACACACTAAAAGAGGCTTGATGATATTGTATTTTTTTTAATTAAAATTAGCTTAAACATCAGTTTCGCAGGTCAGAATCATCTGAGATTGTTAAGGTCACATTCAGCTCAAAGCCATCTAATGTGAACTGACAGTTCCTGTTTGACTGGACCTGTCCGAAGTGCCTCAGTTAAATAATTAACAATGCTGACATGAATAGTTAAAGTCTCACACATTATACAGTATATGTCTACATTTAGAGAGGGTGGAGCGCCTTTCTGCCTGGAGCTTCATGCATAAGTCATGCATATGCAACAAAGCCTTATGAGCTCTCCATAAACTCACTAATATACATCAGTTTATTTTATGATTGTTTGATTTTAGTTTTTTATAGACGTTTAAGCCATGATCAGGTCTGCAAATTAACCTTTGGCTGGACACGATGTATAAAGCAACAGACGACGTTGAAATTCTGGCAATGAGCAAATCTTTATTCTAATGGATGATGGAATGGATTACAGCTGCTTGCATCTTAGTCAAAATCTAAATTTTATGAATGTTATAAGTTAGTTTGGGTACAGACGGAGCAGTTAAATCAAAGTTTAGCCTTTCAGATGAATTTTTTGTTACCACCACAGACTAAAGCAACAATCTCCCTACACTCCCTAATCATCCACATATTCCTGATGTCTATTAAAGGTAAATAAAATGGGTTTTCTCTAATGGTAAGAGGGAATGCTCATTAGCTGTACTTGTGCCTGTTAAATTATAACTTTCTCACTTCTCAATTCTCTAACAGATTAAACTGATGCAGGCTCAGAATTTGTTTTATGCCATAGTTTTAGAGCCTTGTTCTTTGGTAACATTGGGTATAGAAATAAGGCTCTTTGCCATGGTCCAAGTTCCTCAAATTTACTGTGTCTAACAGATATCAGCTGTCTTTAATAATCGAACAGAAGCATGCTCATGCATGTTCCTCTGGGCTGTCTTATTGAATCTAGTCAGTGTAAAATAAAAAAGATGTTACGTTTGAGCATGAAAATTAAGTGTGCAAACGTGGTAGCTCTGAATCTGAAGCACACAAACATTTCATACTCAAATACAGATTGAATTAGATCAAAATGCCCAGGTATTAAATATTAATAAAGTAACTAAAGTTTTAATTGAACTATTAGCCATTTAATGTTTCATGCCTTTATTGGAAAATAGAAATCTATTTGGCTTTCTATTTGGCAGCCAAATAGCTGTCAAATAGAAACTTCCAGTCATGAAGCAGCCATTAAATGCTCCACTGCAAACATGTGGAAGGATAAAACCATAACTTAACTTTTTGGTCCATTTGCAAAACATTGTGCACACTTTTCTTCACACTAAGACATTACTCTCAAAAAACCAAACCCACAATAAAACAATGTGGGTTTGCATCCTGTGAGGGTGCAGGAGGGTCATTAAAGTGGGGTAATTGATTTAAAGATGCAGTGAATCTCAGACTTTTAATAACGAGCACCTAAATACCAAATTTCCCAAGTACTGCCACCATCACATATTTCAAAACAATAGCACTTTTTTTTAGTTATGCCATATAAACAAAATTAGCCATTTTTAGTTTATGATCGATTGAATATTTCGATTTTATCATCTTTTCTTATTTAGAAGGTATATTTTTTCAGGTTTTGAGTTGAAAATGAATATAAATGTCCCTCATTATACATTTTGAGCCGAAGTAGACAAGGTGTCTACCTACTATTCATGAACATAATTAGGAGATGGTTTCACAAAGGAGGAGATTATATTTGAAAAAAAAAAGTACTCAGGTGTGAAGATATGGAGCCTTTTTTATTTATAATACATACTGTAGGTAAAAACACAAACTCAAGCTGAATTTAGTTCAATAAATTAGGAGATATTCGATTCCCTTTGGAAGAACTGACATTATAATAGGCAATTCTCCTTTTGAATCATTCAGCGTGTTCAAATTATTCTAATTGTTCACTTAAGCCATTTCTAAAATGCTCCTCTTCGTACTGAAAAGGGATGAGAAAAATGAAGTAAAAGCATAATGAAGCTCTTCCGCTCTTGATAAGCTGTTAATTCCCAGAAATCATTCAACTGCCTGCAGATAAGATGGAGAGTCTGAAAAGAGAAACACATTGGCCCAATTAAATAGGTCTAATTACCGATGGAGCGTTGGGGGCCGGGTCACTCTGTTTCAGCCTGTAGATGTAGCCCAGAGACCTGCCAGGGAAAGTGAAGGGAAAGGCTTTATTTCTTGTCCAACTCAGCCTCTGGGAAACTGGAGGATGTCCAGCAGCTGGAAGGAAGCATGAATTTATTAAAATACAGTCAGTTTTGAGTTTTAGAGGACAAATGATATGAGATGTCACATTTAGCATCAGATCTGCAGCTTTTATTTGCTGTTTTAATGCACAGAGCAACTTGGCCAATAAAAAAGTTAGCACTTAGATCAAGTATGAAATGGAATAAAATGTTCTCCTTTGGAAAAGTTGAGGAGTCGGTAATATTTAATCTGGTAGAAAATTATTTAATCAACACAGCATCTTGCTGTGTTTTTGCTACCAGTTTTTTTTTTTTTTTTTTTTTTGCAAACCTAAACCTTTTAGGCAATCAAAGAAAATCTAAGTGATTAGTAGATGCAGTATTAAAATGATTTCCTTTATTAGGCACAAAAAAGCAATTGCAGCAGTAGCTATCACTTATTACAATGGCTGGTAATGAGTCTTTTTTTCATTTCTGTGGAGGAGTCTTGAGACACTATTCTGTACAGAGCTGCTTTATTTCAAACACAGCGAAGGATTTATGAGGATTTATGAGCATATTTATAGTATTGCAACAGAATCACAATTGGATTTTGGCCGGTTCTTTGACTAGGTGACTCAAGAACCTGATTTTTCCAACTAATTTATAGGTGGGCTTGTCTTGTACTTCCATGGAATCTCTATGGAGACTTTTCTACTAGTGAGAACTATCTGCAACATCACCAAAAAGTAGGGCAGAACAAATAGTTGTTAAAGTGGGTCCCTCCTTATTTTCTACAAAAAAATGTGTTTTAAATGTATGTCTTAAGATCGAAAGGGAGGTTGATTACTAAACAAGAAAAACACAATATCTGTGAATGCGACATGTATTGTTCAGTGAGTATTTCAGTTTTTTCAGCATTGTGCATCACAAAGTCTTGGGTAAAGTAATCACTGCAGTTACAGTGATTGCAGCCACATTTGTTCAAAGGTCTGCTGCACAGAATCCACCAAAACCTACCTGGCTTTAAAATCTAGTACCATTGACCCAACATGTGTTATACTCCTGCCTAACAAATGTCACCATTTGCTCTTCTCCAAACTGGTTGCAGCTTTCAGATAAGTTTTTTTTTTGTTGTTGTTCTTTTTATGTTATTTCTTAAAGGTAAAATGCTGTGCTGTCCTGCACAAAGCTGGGGCAGCATGCAATCCTACCAAACCACAAGTTAGTTGTGCAGACCAATTTAACTTGAAATTATTTACTTTATGGACCAATTAAAGTAAATAAATACACTGGCCTGTTCAAAATTTTTGGTTGATTTGCACATCACAATAAAATATTATCAGTTGCAAGTTGCATGAGATAATTTGACCCTAAAGACTTCTGCATTTCCTTTGTCTGCTGAGGATTTATGAAAGTTTAATAAATCATACAAAATATTAACTTTTATTCTTTTAGACTATACCAAATGTGACATGGGAGGGGGGGAATAAAGGAACATCTAGATGTCATCAGACCTTTGCATACGTTATGTTCAATATTGTTCTATGATCAAGCAAAAAGAGTCAGTGGAAGGAGGAAAGTCACCAAACCTATAACTTATAACCAGGCTTTCACTTTTGAAAGCCAAGTATTGCAAGTACTGGTATACTTACAGCACTTGTGGTAGATTTAGAAAGAGACAGTACACAGGTTTGAAATGTTATTCTTCAGTGTCATCAATCCACCAGTAAGGGTCCTGAAATTGCTCCTCACTAAGACCAGGGACTATGCATCCCTGCAAGAGCTGCCTCTGTGTTAACTCCTGATTTGTATCTCCAGTGAGGTGTCACTTTTTTTTTTTTGAAACTCGTCCTGAAAGCAGTTCGCTGACTGATGAGCACCGTAAACAGTTTTCATTCTAGCTGATTCATTCCAGACTTCATGTTCTCTGAGTGTGAAAGTATTTCCCTCGAGTCATGTTTCTCAACCTGCAATATATTTTCACTCTCCTTTTTATGATGTGAAAGAATTACACTAAAACAGAAATAAAAGAGAAAACTCTGGCAGATGTTCCCAAAGGATCTGCAGCTTATGTGGGTTCACATCCTGCTGAATAAATCTGTTGACAATCCATTCAGGAGGTCACCGACAGTTCAGGTTGTTCAGTCGCTCACTAACACAGCTGTGAATCTCAAACATCAGAGAGATGATGTCAGAGTGAAATTCCTACTTCCCTCACCAGTTTCTCTTCCTAACATCCTGCTTGTTGTAGAGAAGATTGGAAAAAAGGACTAACTTTTGAGTAGAACTAGGAATGCAAATTCCCCTTCATTGAGTTTCACTGGCTTCTGGTTGTGGCCTGTGACTACCATGGGAATTGTTTCTGGACGCTCTTAAGGGCAGCTTTAATCTCTCCTTTCTTACTTGTGCAAGTAGGACAGATATCATTGACTTTAGCATTTTTTAAATTGTTTGTGTTTCCCTGTTTCTCCCAGATGGATACACCACAGACGACATTGAGTTTTACTGGCAGGGTGGAAGCAATGCTGGGTCAGTCACTGGAGTGGAGAACATCGAGCTGCCTCAGTTTTCCATCATCGATTACCAAACCCTGTCCAAGAAAGCCGTGTTTGCCACAGGTAGCAATAAACCTTTTTTAATAAATTAAAAATAAAATAATTGTACAATATTTTGTAAATCTTGACACTAATATTCATTATCTATACTGGAAAAGTATAATCTATGGGAGATATGATGTCATAAACATTATGTTGTGTCATTTAGTACCCATCTTTTTACCAGTCTGTAAAAAGATCATCACAGACTTATACTATATTCCTTACCAAACAGGTTCGTATCCACGACTGTCACTGAGTTTTAAACTCAAGAGGAATATTGGCTATTTCATCCTGCAGACTTACATGCCATCCATCCTGATCACCATCTTGTCCTGGGTCTCCTTCTGGATAAATTACGATGCGTCGGCTGCCAGAGTGGCTTTAGGTCAGTGACTTTTATTCATAGTTTCTCTCAGGTTCACTCATTTTTGTTAGCTCTTATTATGTACATAGACAGCAAACTTCTATGTTGTCTATGTAGAAGACAACATAGATATAAGCTTACATGATATCCATATCTCAGATTTGGAGAGCTTAAATTTATGAAGGTAGAACCAGTCTTAATGAGCAGTTGTCACGTGTAAAGTCTGTTCTGTCAGTTTTTGACTTGAAAAAGCAAAAACATGCCCTGAGTATTTATGACTTTCCATCAGAGTTCTCCTATTAAAAGGGGAATTATTACATTGAATTATTCAGTATTTTCTATTTCTCCAAAACAGTTCAATTTGTCAAATGTTAGTCCCTTTTAGATCTTCGTGTCTATTTTTTTTTTTTTAGCTTGCTGTATCAATTCTCTTCTTTTAGTCATGGTCCCACATTAGATTTCATATTATTTCTCAGAAAATACTTCTAGGCTAAACTTTAAATTTCACCTTATGTGGAACAACATCTGATGACTTAAAAACAATATCACAAATTAGTATTATAGCCTCAAAATCTTTCTGAGAGATTAATTCTTGACCTCGCCTTGAAATGACCTCAACCACATAAAATCTAGTGGTCAAGTGAACCTACGACCTTAAAATTTATATTTTACTAAAACTAAATCAGGAAATCCTACTTTGTAATAGTCACAAAGGAAGTGCACAGCAATATTACTATGCTACTTCTACTCTACTACTAAAGAAAATATTCTTCTCCTGACAGATCTAACAGATCAAGACTTTGAGCCTCTCAGGAGCCTAACAAAGGGTTTTATTACCTAATTCTGGTGGTTAGTTCCTCTTTTTCTGAAAGGAGTTCAAAGTCTCTGGTCCACTCAAAGTTGTCAGCTTTCAGGATCAGCTGTCGGTTCTCTCTTGGATGTATTGGTGTTTTTTTTTTTTGTTTTCGTTTTTTTTTGTTGGGTTCAGAACTAGGTTGGATGGCAAAGTTAGGCACTGAATGAGCAATGTTGGCCACATGTTTGACTTTGGAGGAATAGCAAAATCTTGCAAAGATTGATACACAAAAAAAAAGAAAAGTGGCTCTTATAAGTGAAATGTCGAATCTGAGATGTTTGCATGTCCTACTCTGTTGACTTTTGCACACCTGCAGGTATAACCACGGTGCTGACCATGACCACCATTAACACCCACCTGAGGGAGACCCTGCCAAAGATTCCCTACGTCAAGGCCATTGACATTTACCTCATGGGCTGCTTCGTCTTTGTGTTTCTGGCCCTGCTGGAGTATGCCTTTGTTAACTACATCTTTTTTGGCCGTGGTCCTCACCTACAGAAGAAAGCAGCGGAAAAGGCTGCGAAGTCCAACAATGAGAATAAGGGCCGACTGGAGAGTAGTAAAGTGCAGGTGGGTGAAGATCTGGGTGGAAAATATCAGTCACTTATGTCTAAGGCAGGTTAAAATAAGTCTGGGGCAGTCTGATGACCAAGCCACCTACCTATCAGAAAGGTATGAATGCCTTAAAAGTCAAATTTAGAAAACTTTAAATTACTTTTTTAAATGTAAATCTTGAAATTTAAGCCCTAACATCTAAGCTTTGCATAATGATTATGAATAGTTTAGA